TTAATAAAACTCAAAATGAAATGCAGTGTAACAAAGGAAAAGAATCCAACAAAGCAAGTAGATAACATTTACAACCACAAAAGAAACCTGTACAACTCTAAACGCCTGGAGTCACTTCTATTTTCTCAAACATGAAGCCAAAGAACCACTCAAAGTTCTTGAACGTCTTGCGGCTGCTTTCAGCGTAGAAGCGGTCCCAGGTAGCTTTTTTGTCCATGTTTTCAATCATTTCAGCTAGACGGACACACAGAAGGACAGGCAGGTTAGATGAGATTTACACCATAATAAATCGGGCCTGGCTGGCCGATTAAATCAGTTGATTATATAGCCCTTCAAACATCGGCCATTTGTCCATTGTTTGTACCTTTATGTACTCTAACCATTAACAGCAGATGTACAAAAGTAACATTGGTTCTATTCCATTTCTTTGAATCCTTAAAGACACACAATGAAATGTGTTGATATGGGCATGGCTTTCAAAACAAAGTAAATCTTAATTTTTACAAGCAATGCAAGGTGTGTCAGGAATTGACTTGGAAGACATATTTTAAACACATCCTAAAGGTGGGCTTTTTTTTTTTAAAGAAACAAAAACATAGTGCAAGATAAATCAAACAAATGTATTAAATATGACACACATTCAACTCATGGTCATCCAAAGACACATCCGCCAATGATGAACACCCTTACAACTTCATTACAATGTTTGTTGCTGCCACTGGATATTTGTGTTTCATTGTGATTATATAGTTGCTTTTCATCTGCGCTCTATACAAAATATGTATTTTATGAGCACATGAAAAAAAGGACAATAAAAATTGCCACTAATGTCGTGCATTTTTTAAATAAAAATGCTATATTGGGATAAATACGGAACCAAAACGTTAATTTTAACAATATGATTACAGTTGACCCCGGCTATTCGCGGGGGAAAGGGACCAGGAAATACATTATTCTGGGGGTCGTTCATGTATTACATTTAATACAAATAATATGAATTACTGTTAAGCAGGTATTAAAAATGTGCTGCGCTTCCGTCAACAAAGTGCTATTAGCATATGAGCTAAAATAGCATTGCACGAGGTGCCGCGAGAGCACCAAAAAGGGCAGGACGCCCCAACAAAAGAACAAAATTAATACCGTTACGTCGTGAAACGTACAGCTAAGGGAAGAGTGAAGTCGTAAACATGCTGAAAATATCCTCGGGCTTGTCAAAAATGACTTCGCCAGCGGAGTCATAGCGACTTGTCGTCCGAGCTCCAGAGATATGCTGGCAGGTGGGCTGACTCGGATCTTAAATTAAAAACATGGACTACAAAATCCTTGTTCGTTTTGGCCGATGAATAGACGATCTTCGTTGCGCGTCATGATCATGACGAAATGTTGGTTTCTTCTTTATGATGATACGGAAGCGCATTTCCCTCACTTGAAAAATATTTTTTTTTCCTGAGCAATTTTTGAGAGGGTTGTTTTCCAAGTTTATGTTCTACAAAAAAATTCAGTTGTGGGGGGGGGGGGGAATTCGTTTTTTTAAATGTTTTTAATGTTATTTTTGAATATTTAAATATACTGTATTCCCCAAAACAGAAGAAAAAAAATCTAACCACCCGAAAAAAATTCAAAAACAAAAAAATTATTCCATAAAACAAATGAAATGGTTTGAAAAACAGAAACTAAAATAATAATCCTAAAACCAACCCCCCCCCCCCCCCCAAGTGAATGCAATACGCTTCCATTTGATGATGGTCTATCTCATTGTCTGCATTCGCACAAAATGACTCATGACATTGTCAACTGTTTTCTTTTCTCCATTTTTTCGTTTGAGTTCGCACCAAAATGCCCACAGCACAAGAAATAAGATGTAAATCCCTTTAATAAAACTCAAAATGAAATGCAGTGTAACAAAGGAAAAGAATCCAACAAAGCAAGTAGATAACATTTACAACCACAAAAGAAACCTGTACAACTCTAAACGCCTGGAGTCACTTCTATTTTCTCAAACATGTGGAAGGGGGGTGGGGGGTGATGGGGGGCTTTATTTGTACAGGATGTCATAATGGCCTGGTCTGTAGAGGAGAAAGATGCGCGGGTCGCCGCCTTCGGGGAAGACGTGATGATTAACCGTTCCGCCTTCGCCTCTATCCATGTACTCCACAAGGATGGATAAGTTCAGGGCCTGGGCTAAGGCGATGATGTGAATGTGGTCGCTTTCTTTCGACATGGGCTCCACCTCCTTGCGAGGGGGGGACAACAAGAAATAAAAAGCACAGTCATGATCTGCCATTTTTCGAGAAACATTCCGTCAAGGGCAAGTTCCGAGGTACCTGCTGACAAAACTCCTTGACCGAGCGTCCTCCCTCGATGAAGTGCTGGAAGAAAGCGTGCTCCCGCTGCAGGTAGCCCGAGGTGAGCAGCCGCAAATATACCACCACGTAGTCCGACACGTTCTGGTCGTTGAAGGATCTGAGGAGTTCCTTCAAGCTGGGCTGCTTCTCACACAGCTCGATCAGGCCCATGAACTAGCCGGACAGCGGAGACGTGACTGAGGAAGTCCCGAAGACAAAACCGATGATGTCGCAAACTCACAGTGTGATGGAAGTCCTCAATGGTGAACTCGGTGAATCCCTCGTTAACCAGGTCCAGTTTGCTTTTCGCTGCCACCGCTTTGAACCTGAACAGAGTTGGCAATGTGTACACGCACATGCCATGAAAGCTTGCACCGTAAAGAAAAAAAAAAAAACAACAACAAAAACATAACTTTTTCTTTTGGTGGGGGCTAAAACAAATTGGAACAACTTTCAAATACAAATGATTGACATTTATGGAAACAAATGTTGGTTTGTTTGCTCCAAAATAATTTAATGAGTTGTTCCCCCCCCGACATCTTTAATTTTTGGGGACAAGGGGGAATTCTTTGTTGAAAGCCAATTTTCACATTAGCGCAACTTAAAACATTTTGTTCAATTGCCCAACTTCAAATATTAGACGTTGTTTTGCCTTGAAATTTTGAGCTCACCCAGTTTATATTTTTATTATTCCCTTTTTTTTTCCCCCCCGTGTAGCACTCACTTCTGCAGTTCTTTGCTGTCATCTAGTAGAGACTCGAGATGTGCAAAGCCAAAGGCTCTGTAGAAACAGTTGCCGTCCGGTCTTGTCTTGCGGATGTATGAATATTTTTTGTACAAGTCCTGTGACGAAGCAGCAAAAAAAAAAAAGTAATTGGCATGGATTTTACACGGGACACATTGATGAGGTTCCACTGACCTTGATCTTGAGCTGATAAACTGTGTCTTCCTCGGAGTACTCCCTCTGCAGCACGGACAGTTCCTTTCTTTCCGACACGAGTGGGTTACTGTTGGCTATCTGCATGGCCAACAACGAGTTGATTTGAGGGAGGGGGAAATCTGTTAATTAGAATCCCGAATTTAAAACAAGAGCAGCTCCTGGAGGTAAAATTCTCACCTCCTGTTGAATTCTGTCCTGCTGTGCAATTATGGCCTCATCATACGCCAAGCAGTTCACTCCTATGGAAGAAGGCAGAGTTATTTCCGTGTGTTAACCTCTCAGATGAACTGACTAAATGTTAAATTTTAAAAAAAAAATTCAAAAAAGGTCAAATGAGGATGACGTGACCTGGAATGCGTTTACAACGCCTGCGAGTTCGAGACCCCCCGGCCCCACGTCGTTTATGTTTAACGTTGAGTTTATCGCTTTAATGTTGATTAGATGTCCCAAATCTCGAGACTGAAAGTCGTCTGCGAAAGTGGCTAAACAAGCGTTTCTTTGTGCAGCAATGTTAGCATTAGCAAACAAGCTATGGCCCCTTTCTCTATTTGGACGCTGCGTGGCAACCGCTTAGTCTGACGGAAGGACATCGGGCCAAAAGCGACAAAAAGCACTGTGGTTTGAAGTGGCTTAAACCTCCAGAGACGAGTGGCCTCGCTGCGTATTGCTGTGTTGTGTTTCCACTTTGTTTTTCTCACCCTCCATCTCCCCCTGTGATGCTTCTTGCTGCTCCTCCGCCATCTTAGCTGTCCAGATCAGTTTCCTGTTTTTTTTCTGTCACCCATAACTTTATTGCTCATTTACAAAACGTACAAAATCAGTGACGTACGTCGAACCGCGCGGTACAAGAAAAACTCGTTTACACAAAATAAAACGTACAGTAGGCAACTGTCAATGTGATGACGTCACACATAAAAGTGCCTTTTTTTTAACTGGGTCAAAAACAAATACATGGGCACATAACGCAGTCGCCTGTTGTTACATGGTACGACACAAATGTACTAAATGTGATTATTCAACCTTGATGTCACGTTTGTAAATTATAACTCATATAGGCATTTGAACTGTTGTCAGATTTTCTGCAGTTCCCAAAGTCGCCACTAAAGGACGCTGAAGACAACGAAAACGGTCGTCGGCAGACAATGACTGCTTTTCAAAGTGTGGATGCCCAAAATAAACCGGTTTTTATTCAAACTGTATTCAAATATTTTTCTTAGGGGAGAAAATTTGAAGTACAATACTATCTGGGGTTCTCGCTGCGGCACAAAAAATTGTGACAGGAGGAGCAAAGCAAAGTAAGAAAGTGCCATTTGGCCATATCCCCCTTTAAAAGAGTTTTGGGACAAATTCCATTCAAATATATTCTTAATGTTGAAAGGAAAAAACATCATATAAAAAAAAACTAAAGTCCGCGCGCGAGACAGAATAATACTTCATATTTGCCATATTTGGAATTCTTGCTATGGCACATATTTGTCACAGAAGGAGTCCAATAAGCCAGAAATCAAAATGTATGTGCATAGATAGATAGATATATAGATATACACTTACCGTATATATAGATATACTGCATATCGATATATGTTAATATATACATATTTGTAACAGAAAGAGCAGAACAAACTATCCTAAAATCCAAATGTCCCATCTGCATTTCCTTGAGTCCAGAGAGTACAAGATTGTTTTCAAATTGTCCTTTAAACACTTGGCAGTTCTTACAAATAAACTGCTTCTTGGCGAGTTGTGAGCAGCTTCCCCCTACACGATCTGGACCTTGTGCACCAGCGAGGCATGAGGGCCAACCACGGTGTGGCCTATCTCCGGTTTGAACCTCTTTGTGCCATTTGTGAGTTGGTTGTGGCTGTGCGCCTCAGACACCTGGGAGCGACTGCTCTGGCTTTCCCGGTCATCAGGATGCTCCTGGCTGGCGGGACCCCCGAGGCCTTCATCCACCTCGTCGTCATTGTCGGTCATGGAGGGAGTGCAGTAGCTCGGGGAGGGGTGGCGCAGAGACCTGACGGAACTCGCTGGCCTTGACCATTCTTCGTTTTGCTCCCCGAGCATGTCAGTGGACCTGATGGTCAACGGTGTCGGCACGCGACACGGAAGGGAAGTTCCCTGCTGCAGATGTACACACCAACATAAAGGTATTTTAATGTAATGTAGGTAAACTCAGGCAGTCATTCTTAATTTGCAAATAAAAATTGCTTTCGTTGTAAATTTCAAGTTTGGTTTTAGTCGTCAGCGCAGCAGCTGAATTTTGGACACAGATTTTGTATTCGATGTAGGGCTGGGCAATTAATGGTTTTAATTGTGATTTCAGTTTTGACATTCTCTCGATCTTTAAAACACTATAAGGCACTTCAGAGTATAAGGCGCAGCTTCAATGAATGGCCTATTTTAAAACCGTTTTCATATATACCGCATTATAAGGTGCATAGAATAGAAGCTGCAATAGTGGCCGCAGTTGCGTTATGCGTCCATTAGATGGAGCTACGCTAAGGAGAATACAATACAACACAGCTTTATTTATAATTAGCTTTTGGAACGTGTGCAAAGTTTTACTCACCTCATCATGGTCCAAGAGGCTCTCTCTGCCCTTCTGCGAGTTGAGTAGTACCGGGCGACCCAGGTAGTCGTACGCTCCCCCTCCTCCTTCCCCTCCTCCCGACCTCCCACCCATGATAGTGGAGCGACTGTCACGGCTGGGGGCCAGCTCCTATCAGCACAGGAAATAGACGCAGATCACAAGTGGCGGATTAGTAGCTTGCACGGTCAGAGGTTCCTGCTGCGTGAACTGAAAATGATTTGCTGACTGTCTTTTATTCAAGTGGCACTGCGGGAAGGAAATGGAACCAACCAGGGCCTCTTGTCATCCAATATTCATGTATCTATATTTTTTTGGAATATGACAATTTGGAGTGGTTCCATCGACACTCTGACTCACAGACAGGAATGAAACGAACAGCGAGTTTGATCATTGCGGCGAGCGGACTGACCCCAAGGGAGGACAAGGTTCCCTCCACTCTCAGCGGGATGCTCTCCTCCGTCTGCAATGACAGGAAGCAGACAGACTTTGATACTTGTGCGCAAACTTGCCGAAACTTCCCACCGTCAAAACTTTTCCCGCTTCCTCAAGAGAGACAAAGCGGCGCCTCCTTTCCCGTCTCATCCCGAGCGCTTCATTATGTCTTCCATTTCATGTCTGACAAAGAATCACTGACTCAATCTGCCGGTTTTGTCTCCCAGGCAGAACTGGGTCGCGCAGACAGACGAGAAAAGTGTCATCGTGTTTGTTCTGTGTTGTCGGGGAGAGAGAGAATAATTCATTACCGCTCCTCTTGCATCTGTGCTGACCGAGTTGATCCTCCTCAAAGAAGCTTGCCAGGACAGAGTGCTTATTTCCTCCCTGCGCACAAAAAAAGATGGAAAAATGAGATCCGCGTGTTTTTTTTACACTGACTGGATAGCGTATTCATCCAATTTCCTTGTTCCATACCGCGGTCATTATCGTCAATGAAGACCAACAAAATAATTGGAACTCAAATTGAAAGAACATTTTCGTTCATTGGAAAGGAAAATGCTTTGGAAAAGAGGAAAACGAACTGAAACATCTTGCGGTTATAAAACTATGTCCTTTGTTTTCGCCTTGGTCAATTAATATCAGACGTCACCTTTAAGGGTTCATTTTAAATGTATTTATTTTGGTATGATTGTAACAGCCTTACTTTATTATTCAGTACTTTTCAACCTTTATTTATTTATTTATCTATTTATTTATCTATCTATCTATTTATTTATTTATTTATTTATTTATTTGCTTTTATCTTGAAATCACTCGCCAAATACCCCAGAAACAAAACTAAAACCAATACTAAAACCAATAAAAACGAGAGAAAAATGAATCGTTTTTGAAAAACTAAAAACGAACAAACCTCCTATCAAAAGTGAATTTGAAAAAAGTCCAAATGAAATAAAAAAACTAACGATCATGAGAAACCCCAGACTATCATAACCCTGCTCCATACTTCTTCTCGGTCAGTTCCCTCTTGAGCTTCTTGTTCTTCTTCTTGTGATGACAGGTGACAGTGATGATGATGACCAGCATCAAGAGGAGCAGCCCCACGGCGATGACCCCGACGACGACCATCGTCGTCGTCTCCGACATGATCTGCCTCTCGGGAAACTCTGCAGGAAAGGCAAAGCAAGGAAGCGGTCAGAAGTCTGCGCAGCCGTGGGGGGGGGGCGGTTTGTCAAAGGCTCAACTCTGGACGGCTACCTGACACGAAAATCTCCACCTCCGCCGTGCCCACGCCAACCTCATTCTTCGCCACGCACTGGTAGGTGCCGCTGTCTGATAGGCTGAGGGGGCGCCGGAACTCCAGGGTTCCGTTGGGGTGAGGGATCAAACCGGCGGGCAAAGCCTTACCGTGTCTGTTGACACAAACATGACACACCTGAGACTAAATGCAATTCTGATTCTTTAAGGTCAGTCATTTCCAACATTTTCCACCATTAAGTTGGCTTACGACCCCAACCACTCGATCCAAAAAGAAATTTTCTAGGCAAGGTATAAAAAAAATATATTTTTTTTTTAAAGTGATGTTTTCAAAAGTGTGCACACCCTCTTAAAAACTGCAACGTGGCTGTGTTTGGAATTGACCTATCACATTCAACTCATATATTAGAACAAATCTCGAGTGTTCGTGCAAAGTACAAAAACTTCAGGCTTTTGCCAGAAAACAAAAGAAATGTCTGAAAAGCCCTCCAGAACAGCTGAAATTGATTTAAGGTTACTCAGAAGAGGCACTTTAAATGGACGCAAATGTTGTTGACTCCCGCTGAACAGGCGTGTCAATGTGATTGGATAATTCTGAAAACCGCAACATACAATTTAACACTTGTGCAACCACATTATTTCACTTGGTTCGTTTTACTTCCTCTCGGAAAATGATTTCAAAAAAACACACGCACATTTGAGGTGGACAGGTTACGAATTCCATTAAAAGTTGAAAAAGTTGTGAAATGATTTGCCTTGGTCTCATTTATTTACGTCACAAAACCTTGGCATTTGGGCAGGGGTGTGTAGACTTTTTATATCCAAGAGGCTCCCCCCACCCCCACCCCCGCACCCAAATTAAGGTAGTTGTTCCTTGACTGATATTTCAATTAAGCATTTTTTCACATAGACATAAGTCGAAAGCGTTTAAGTGAGCGAAATAACATTCAATTCAAGATCATTTAACAGCATAAAAGAAAATTTGTTTAGTGGCGATGGTGAAAGTTGGACAAAATGAAATAAAATAAAATAAAGCCACACTGAATGAAGGAACACAAGGAAAGAAAACTCTCTCCACAACAGCAAACATAACACGATAAAAGCTACGCGACTTTTGAAGGCAGCAACATCGATGCGACGCAGCCCGAAAAGAAATGAAGGGAACTAAATATTGTAACACCAAACTCACGAGACAACGAGGAACATCTTTGACAAGACATGGGTGGCTGGAGGGAGCTGATTGGTTGACACAAGGAACAGGTCTGATGAGACCATGTGGAGACAAAAACTGGAGTTTTTGCTGTTCGCTGAAAAGTTGATGCAGACGGCGAAACGTAGTCGGCGATGGGGTGTTAATCGTGTCGGGGAGAGCTGCGGGTTTGCTGGACGATCGCTGATGGCCGCGATGGCCAGGACTTGCCCGGAAATACACATTTTCCCAAAACTCCCGATGGCCAACCCTTGTGTGTACCATTTATCTTTCGAGTGACTATTTCTATCATTTTGAGGCAGTCAAACATTCAATGACTTCATCCATTCTGTTCCTCTTCCTCACCAGCCGTCTCTCTTTCAGTTCCCTCCGCGATCGGGCCACCTTTTCGCTTTTCCTCCGCCTTCCATCCGCGCAAGCACAAACACGACGGCGTGCCACCAAGCGATTGCTTCACCAAGACGCCTGCTATTGACAAAGCCAACAGGTTGGACCCGCTGCGTGCGCTCGTGCGCGCGCGGGACTGCCGACGCTGACGCTCTTGTTTACGGGTTTTTATGCCAGCCAAGTTGACGTTACAAACAACAATTAAAAAAAAACAAAAAAAAAAAAACACTGGGGCTGAACTGCAAGTGCGAGCCATTCCGCCCCATCGCAGGTGGAACGACGAGTTTTTCTTTTATTCGGATATGAAGTACTTAAACACACAAAACGAACAAATTAAACGGACTGAGACAAATCTTTTCTGCGCCACGCGACACAAACTGAAGTTAGTCAGGAAAAGGTTGGCTGCTTGACTGTCGTCACTTGTCACGCACATTTGCGCCATGTTTGATTGAGTGAATGCTCGAGTCTTAACACGATGATCAGTCTTACGAGAGCTTATCCATGGAATTTCGCTTCTCTGGCAAACTGTGGAGAAAAATACTTGACATGCTAATGTAATAACTGACTGCAGTTTTGGAATCAGCAAGCCAATTTTTGTTTTAATCATCATAAAAATCGAATTCAAGAGATGTTTTTTTTTCCCAAATTGCTCCTCGGCGTTTTTAGGGTTACCATACAGAACAGTTTTTTGTTCTTTATGTTATAACATTCAACAAAGGAAGTGTAACTGCCTCGGCTCTACATGCCCCCTAAACCAAATTAAGTGGTCGGCAGCAACAAGTGAAATCTTCTAGAACTTGCAAATCTTTGTGGAGATATTTTGGACCAGTCTTCCAAGCTGCATTGCTTTAATTCAGTAACCCCTGGAGGGCTTTTGAGTATGAACGGTCATGCAACAGCATTTCAATTGGATTCAAATCTGGACTTTGACTCGGCCACTCCAAAACCTTCATTTTGTTTTTTTAAGCCATTCAGATGATAACTCATTGGTGTGTTTTATATCATTTTCTTGCTACAAAACCCAAGTGAACTTCAGCATGAGGATGGCCAAACATTCTTTCTAAATATTTCCTGGTAAAGAGCCAAATTCATGGTTCCAAACAGTTGCAGCAAATTGTCCAGGTCCTGAAGTAATCAGCAGCCCCAGGCCATCGCACTACCACCACCATGTTTGACTGCTGAGATGATTGTCGTCCTCAAATGCTGTTACATTTACACCAGATGTAACAAGACACACACCTTCAAAAATTGTTTGTTTTTTTTGCCCATCTGTTCTTTAATTTCTGTGTATCAGGGCGTTTTGTTGCTGCTTTTTTGAGATCTTTTGACAGACCCTAGTTTGTCAGACTGGCTCAATTTAAATTATTTCATGATTGAACAAGTCGTGAAGTAATCACGCTTGGGTGTGGTCAGTGAAAATGAACTCAAGTGAACGTCAACTACCACGTTGCGCGCAATCAAAACAAGTTGGCATCACTAACTTTCGGTGACACATGTTGTTTTTCTGTTAAACCGAACCGCACTAGCCACACCCCGATGACTGATTTTTAATCCCCCAAAGTGAGCAAGCACACGATGACTCGAGTACGTCAGGTTCAACGTAACAGCTATATGCCAGTGTTGATGTCATGGTGTAATCACGCTCGGAGTTACAGTAAAAGCAACGGTCCAGACGCTTAGTCAACAGACAATATAACTGTACCTGGCCCAGGTGAATTGCTGCGGTTTGGGGTTTCCTCCACTCACACACGTCAGGGCAGCATGCTCCCGGCCCACATACCAGTCCCCGTTATAGCCCGACACCTCAGAATCGGGAGGAACTGGAAGGGACGTATACGAGACGGTTGAGCAATGTCTGGAACCTGATTTGGTCATCCCAAATTTGATCCCACTCACAGTGTACGACCAGCTTGTTTTGGTGCCGACGCGGCCCCGCCGTGAGAGTCGGATGCCACACCAGACAATCCAGCTTCTTCCCATTCATTTTCCGCAAAGGGTGCAAGGAGAAGTGGGTGGTAATCGCCCCGTTCGCCCAGGAACGGTTCATAGATTGACCGTGCAGCTCGGTGTCCCACGACAGCTGTGGTGCCGGGCGGGCCAAAGAGCGGCACGAAGCTGCCTGCCGATATGACTGCCCCTCGACCAGAATCACAGGATCCAAGGAGGAGATCGGGATGGCTGGACGAGAAGCATGATGTCAAATATCAATGAATTTGTACAGCAGCCACAGTTGGAGTGCGACTTAGGCACCCCCTTTCTAAATTTGCACCTTCTATCTGTACCTGGATGCGTTCAGGTACAGAAGGAGGGGACCATGATTTCTGTTTTATTCATGTTGAAGTGATATTTCTATCAAATCAATTTTTAAATGTGCTCATCCCTGTGGTCAGCGAGAACAGAACTTGCTGCAAATTACAATGTATTCCCAGAAACCAGTTCGTGTCATCTATCATTTCAAGGATTTTGACTCATTGTAAATGTCATTTACATGTCCAATGTAAAATTGGACATATATAATCAGATGGGCGTCACAGGCCCACAGCTAACAACACCACAGCATCCCCTGATTTTAACCCCCTTTGTGTGCAAGGATAAACAAATATATATTAAAAACATTGGACCCAGCATTGACCCCTGCGGGACGCCATACATGTTGTCCATAGCATTGGGATTCAAATCTATCCGTTCTTGCAAACTTTTAATTTGAATCCACGTAGCTTTGCATCCAATTCAAAACTAGTCACCGAATCCCATGTTGTTCAACTTCAGTTAAACACTTTATTTTGTTCGCCTAAATGTTAGAAAAAAAGACAGTCAATTAAAATAGTTACAGATTAATTTGATAATCGATTAGCTGTTTCATTGACCAACCATTTCAGGGTGTTCCCCACCTACTGCTTGAAGACAGCTGGGACAGGGTCCAGCACGCCCCGCGACCCTTGTGAGGAGAAGCGGATCAGAAAATGGATGGGTGTTTCATCGATTAATTTTGACACCTCTAATGCTGATATTGAAATAAGTAAAAACATATATATTTTGGTGGAAATAGTAGTGTGAAATTACTCTCTGAAATAAAATTTTTACTTTTGTGGATAAATTGATGTTTTGAATCCTGGGCTTTTTTTGTCCGCCTCATCAACCCACTGACAGGCTTCACCTCATTATTCCTCTCAGCGACTTCTCTATGGCCACACTCTCTCAATCTCTCAACCAATCCAAATCCTGATTGCCTCCTTCATACCACCTTGTGTGACTACTCCAAAATTTAACCCAGTCCCACTCCAAGATCATTTTGTCACTGGACCTGCTGTGTTGTTGCATATGTGCTGTTTATTTGCTTCTGTCTTGTTTGTTTGAGTCCATATTTGCGTTTTCAAAAAGATGAGATACTCACTCCAGACCATGAGAGTCACTATTTGGTCAAAGTTTCCCAAAGGGTAGGAGTTGACGTGACATGTGTAGCGCCCCTCGTCTGAGACGTCTGTGCTGAAGAGCACTAAAGATGAGTCCTCGGTGGGGATGCTGCTGTTGAATCGCACACGGCCAGACCACGCTCCAAAAGCTGTCAACAAGGAATAATATTTGACTTTATTGTGAGGAAAAAAGCACGCACATACAAACACAAGCAAAATTATTTGTTCTTTCCAAAAAAATTAAAATTTCGCTATTCATTCTGGTGCGTTCATTTCATTGCAAATGTAACTACCAGTCTGGCCGTCAATGTGATGAGCCGTGATGATCTGGTCCCAGCCCTCTGGGGTCTCCCTGTACCACGTGACCTGCACCACCAACTGCATTTCCTCAGGCTGGAAGCGGCAGGGCAGGACCGTCTCCTTTTCGGCCAACGAGTAGATGGAGTCATTCGGGGGCCGCTTGACAAATTCTCCAGTCACTGCGATGAAGAACGACAGTGACTTTTGAGAGTAACGCTACGAAATGGACAGAATAGCACGTAGGGAATACAAGAAGACAGTTTCATGGAGCAAGGATGAGAATCTAGGTTCTAAACGTATGTCTGCTTCTGACCGGCGAGAAAGGCTTTCCTGGCCCAGCGCTGCTTGTCGGTGTCCCAATATTTTTGTCCTGCGTTGGGAACAAGAGGAGCTGTTTTGCACGCGCAGGCAGAGACCGACGTTGCGCTATCAGTACAAGTGAAGATATGCCGCTTGACAAGTTACACGAGACAACCTGTCGTAGCGCATCGTGTCTGGACAGGGCCGGAATTAACGACAGACGTGCAGTAAATGACACACACAGTGTCGTGTGAACAGCCTGTTTACAAATGTCTTTGCCTGTTCAGATCAGGTGTCACGTGAACCTCAAAAGGCAAACATGCACTACGTACATCCTATTGTATTTATTTTAGAGTGGAGGAAGAAAGAAAAATGCCGAGTCTACCTGGATTACTCAAAAGTATCCGCATTGATGAGAATGAGTTTGGTATGAGGCTGGTATCATGTTTTCAGACGAGGGACTACAAGCGCAACTCTTTCGTCACACGAACACAGCAAATGATTCACAACGCTGTGCGGTGAGAACGAGACTGCGCGCGTCAAGTCAGCGGCCATGATTCATGCATTTCCTGTGAACAGCGGCTCGCCCCCCCCGTTCACCGGCAACACATGGCTTCATTGTGTCCATTTCGAAGACATGACGCGTGGGAAAAAAAATGTGGGTCCGACCAAATATTGGCTATTTGGCACATCTGCTCATATTTTGTCCTGAGCAAAAAGAGCATTTTGGTCACATATCCGATGAGGAAGTCCTACGTGGCACCCCAGGAGCACTGATGGAAACATTGTGGCGCCCTCCCTCCATCAAGTTGCCCAACCACGAAGTACACCGTAAAACTCAAATAATGACGTTCAAGCTTCCCCACCCCAGAACCCTCCAAAAAAAATCACATTTTTGCCAATTCTCCTTCTGCTTGAAAGTGAAACAAAGACTAAAGGACACGAAGGAGTTCCCCACATCTGTGCTAATTTCGTCCATCTTGAACACTTAAATCGAAAGCTATCTCCATTTTACAGGGAGGGCCGTGAGTTGATTGGTGGCCCCAAAGAAGCAACAGACCAAAACTTTTTTGTGTGGCCAAACAATGCCCGCCTTCCTAGACATGTGCCTGATTTTGATCCTGCTAGAGATGAAGGAAATATGCAGATGTAAACACACAGTATGAATGTAATGTGATGTGACTGATGAGTGAGATTTTTTTTTTCTCAACACCATAAGAAAATGGATCAACAGCAACCTGTTTTTCCTGATACATCAGGCAACAGCACGCCACTGTTATTTTTTCTCAGCCTATTGAAAGGCTGCGGCACTCAAGTGTGCTTTTGTTCGGAATTCCTGAGCGCCGATACTTTATTGGAAATTTGTTGATGATCGGAGCAAACACGCCTTTTTGTTGACATACTTGATTTACGTAATCCTGATATTATTGATCATAAGAGCATATGTTCAATGACCTGGACCAGGAGGACACATGCATCCTACGACGTAGCATAAAAATACTTCTTACCAGAGATCCATGGGACCAGGAGACACAGCGAGAGTCCTCTGAGCCAGGATGTCATCCTCACAACAGTTGTTGCAATACTTGAGTCGCCAAATCATCAGCCTATGCTGCCGAACGCAGCCATGCTACTGGGAATCTAGAGTCCTAAATACTGTATAAAGCAAAAGTCCTAAGATCCGGTCTGTTTTTTGTGGTGGTTTAACACACACATGGTGAGAGCAGAAAGCTCACCTGTCAGGGATACACCTGTTTGCATTACATGCACACTTGTGCTTCCACCTCCCTTTCGACCTTTCGAGTCAACTTTCCGGTTTGGTGGAGGCCCGTTGACAGTTTTTTTTTCCACTCTCGTCGTTACTTGTTCACACCTGAGGCTGCAGACAAGACAAATCCTCCAGCAAACAAAAAAATGACTACCAAATCTGCCACCTTTTGGTGTATTTGAGCAGTACAGTGGACCCCCCGCATACTCGCATACATTTTTAAAAACTTTTGACAAAACACTTAATGCTTCTTCAACAATTTTTAGGGTAAAAAAAAACAAAACAAAACATTTTGGATGCATTTCAAGGATTTTCGTACATGGAAAAGATCATTTATACATAACATTGGTCCTAGCATTGAACCCTGAGGAACACCACACAGGATGTCCCAGCATTCTAGTGTACTGTACATCCATCCATTGTTGCAAACTGCTGCCTTCTCTCTTTACCCAATTCAAACTAGTCAATATTATGCTTTGTATGATAACAATTATGTCAGCAAATAATAGTCATGACATAGCCTTATTTGGTAGTTTTCGACATTTACGGTATATTACATTATACTACTTTACTAAAAGGAGTCGTTCAGATAATTTTGCATGACATTTCAATGGCATATTCATTGTAGTTCTCAAATCTTGATTTTTTATTTTAATTATCCCTACATTTAAATTACGTTACATCACACGATTGACTCAGGATTATGACGTTGGCCATTTAGTGAATTTTTTTCGCCAGTTTTAAAAGAACTTGGTTCATATTTGACACAGGAAAATTATTCTGATCACTGAAATTGACTAAAAAAGTTCTGTGAATCATTTTTACACATCTCTTCCATAGCTTGCCTACCAGCCCAATGCTAAAGCTAATGTTGCATTGTTTTCTGCAATGGAGTAAATCGAAGCAACGCAGAAACGCGCCAAAACATACTGACAGGCATTTATTCTTTATATTCGATGAAGTGAGACTAATATTAACAAGGCTTAATTGCTAACTTCGAGACTTTCATCATGTACTGTTGCTAGGTAGACCCGTACGTCTCGTTATACTTCCCTCAAGTGGCCAAGGTGTACACCAGAAGGAGCCCATGAAATCAAACCAAAAAAGTGCCATTTAATCACATTTTTCCTTTTTATTAGTAACTGATTAATGCAATCACCAAGGGGGAAAAGGGGGTGCTATTTAATCATGTCTTTCCTTGTTATAAGTAACTGCTCAATACAATAATCAATAACAAATACTCAAAAAGTGATTAACACAACATTGTTTTTCTTAATCACAAATTTGCATTACACCGAACGGCAGCTGAAATAAGCATAGCCGAACAAAAAATTGAAGCAATGTTTTGTGTTTTCCTTCCTTGTCACTTCTTGGTGTCAATTATCGCATATGTGTCCTGGACATGAGGAGTCAAGCCCTGAGTAGACAATAAGCAACATACAACAAGTCAGACAGTTGGGTGAGTGAGTGCCAGTCACTGAAAGTGTATCAAAGACTTACAGTGTAAATGCCTTCTGAAGCACTCTGTCAGAGGAAAGGAGTAAAAATTGGTGTTACTTTTTTTTTTTAATGACACATCAGTTGTACATGTGCATTGTACTGCATTTTACCTGCTTGCCATCTGCCTTCCCCTCTTTAGCAGTGCGAATCTGTAATAACATTTTATTATTTAGTCATTGCTGTCTATGCCTATTATTTAGAAGCGTCAAACTGCATCTTCCACCTTGATATGTATCAACACTTTAAAAAAATCTATAAGCTTCTTTCACAATCAAACAGGAAGTGAAGCCACATCCACTGACAAGCCACATACAAGTGATACACGCAGTAGTAAGGCTGCAATACGACCAGGAATTCATTTTACTGCGAATTGGGGTGCATTAAAATAGACAGGCGGGGGGGGGGGTCTGGATTCAGGAATAGGGTTAGGATTAGGGTTAGGGGTTGAAGGTTAGGGTTTAAGGGTTAGGGGTGAGGGATAGGATTAGATTTGGGGGTTAGGGTTAGGGTCAGGGGTTAGGGGTAGGGGTTATGGTTAGTGTTTAGGGTTAGGGGTGAGGGTTAGATTTAGGGTTAGGGTCAGGGGTTAGGGTTTGGGTTAGGGGTTCAGGGTAGGGGTTATGGTTAGGCTTTAGGGTTAGGGGTTAGATTTGGGTTAGGGTTTGGGTTCGGGTTAGGGGTTGTGTTCGGGGTTGGGGTTGAGTTTAGGGGCGAGGGGTTAGGGGTTGGGTTAGAATTGGGGTTAGGGGTTCAGGTTAGGATTAGGTTCGGGGTTAGGGTTAGGCGTTAGGGTTTAGGGTTTGGGTTAGGATTAGGGGTTAGGGACAGTGTTAGGGTTAGGGGTTAGGGTTTAGAGTTAGGGTTAGGGTTTAGGGCTCAGGAAAAAAAAGCAATGCCGACCTTGAGTCTGCAGTAGAGCGCGGTCAGGATGATGCCATACAAAAACAGAATGCCATCCAGCAGATAACATATCTCCGGTTCGGCGAGAGCTACTGCAGAGAGAAGATGACATCGATTTAACTGAATTATAGCACCATTAAAAAAAAAAAAAATCTCAAAAATTGCAACAATTTAAAAATATAATATAATTAAATAAATAAATAAAATTTTCTGACATTTCCTGCAATAAATTTAGGTAGCACAATAAAGCAAACAGGTTGTTTGCTTTTTATAATATAAGGGACAGTTCCTTCTCTTACTTTCTTTCTTGTGAAATGTAGGACAGCCAGTTTTCACAACAGCAAACCAGAAAGTACTTTGTTCAATTGCCCAAATTAAAATTTTATCGAACAAAAAATTATGTTCACCCAACTTTTGGCCCCCGCCAGTATAACGCCCAAAATTGAAAAGAACTGAATCACTCTTCAGAGGACTGATCACATGTCCGCAGTGACATTTGTCTCGAATTTGGAAATAGTCTCGACTTGTTGAAGCAACTTGAGCAGATGCTACTTTTGACTGGTGGGTGAATCAAAACAAACGGCTTTTGGCTCCTCGATATCCCCAACTGTGGACAAGCGCCAACTTGGATTTCAGTTCAAGTTAAAAGTGTTGATATGTTTTCTGTCAGCGACACCTCAGAGCTTCAGCTTCTCTTTTCGCAGGCGAGAAAATATGACGCGCGTAAATGTGAACACTCTTAGCGAAAGCTCGTTTCCAAAAGTTGGGGGCCCCATCAGCCAGCAAAGCGCCCACCCTCCGCAACTCACCGGCTCGACCGAAAGTCATCCACAGCGGAACGGCCGCCAGTAGTGAGCTCCTGTGCCACAAGGCCATGGTTCTATTGAGTCGAAAACACAATTTTGCTGAACACTGAAGAATGACGAAGTGCAAAAAAAAAAAAAGTCACTGCAGAGAGGGGGAAGTTGTGGTCTAGGTTTGAAGTCCATCTGCTCAGGCCACTCCCTCTTCTGAATACCAAAACCACAGCAAAGTCAAACAATTTTGTTCTCTCACGGTACAAAGGACAAGAGTCTAATTATGGATTCTGAGCATAAAATATTTATTCGGCATTATATATCACAGAACATCAGGCAGGCAGGGTCTTGCTCAGCGGTCCACCTCCCCAAACACGATGTCCTGCGTGCCTGTCGAAAGAAGAAGGTTCGTGACCATTGGGACCAGGCGCACGTTGATGATGTCACTTACCAATAATGGCCACGACGTCTGCGAGCATGTGTCCTTTGGCCATTTTGTCCAAACCGGCCTAGAGAAGAAAAGAAAAATATGAATTGTCACTTCATTAGCATCTTTGAAGAACTCCATTAAAAACGAGGCAGGAAGGAAGGAGCAGGTGGCGTATAAATAAAAACAGCACTGTCGGTACTTTAAGAAGTCAGCGTAGCCTCGAGCACGAAGCAACGCGCGACTGTGTCTTTAAATATTGCAGCGTCGTCTCGAAAGTTCGTACCAGGTGGGCGAATCCGGGCGCTTTGATCTTGCAGCGGTAGGGTCTGCTGGAACCGTCCGACACCAAGTAAACACCAAACTCTCC